GCGAGAGATCCGTGTTCGATGATGCCCAAAAGGATTCGTCCTATGCACGCGCCTATATCTGCGTGTAGATTCACGCGCTCTTTACCGACTTTTACATTCATATCTGCTTCTCTCTTCTTGTCTGCACACTATAAAATCTCATGTTTCCCTTCTTCCGATTCTGCACCGATTATCTCACTCTAATTACGATATTGCCACTGGTTTTAAAAATTAAACAAAAACGTACACTAAACCGAGAAATAAACCGAAACCGGTTAAGTCATGGAGGATTTATTGGCCGAAGAGGAGAGGCTAACTCGGACTGACTCGGTTGCCAAGAAGCGAGTCAGACACGAGTTAGACGAGTTATGCAGCCTCGACTCACCGGACGTGAAACGGTTAAAAGACGATTTGTTCGATGACTCGGGTCATGACTCAGCGATTCAAGATCTTGACTCAGTGATGAAGAGCTTCGAGGTTGAGTTATCGACCACCACGACGGAGCTAATCTCCGGCGAGACTCAGCCGGATCTCGGATACCTTTTCGAAGCTTCCGACGACGAGCTGGGTTTGCCTCCGCCTCCACCGCAACCACCGACGATTCCTCCGACGTCGTCTCAGGAAACGGAGGAGACGGTGACGGAATTGGTACGAGCCTCGTCGGATTCATCAGAAGTCGGCGAGTTATTCGGATTTGAGGATCATCATGTTACGGGTTTCGGATCTTTCGATCTGGGTAATGAGCTCTTCGAATATTCCGATGTTTGTTTAGATTCCGGCGACATGTTTTCATGGCGACCGGAGTTTTTACCGGCGGAGTTTTAAAAAAGCGGGAAACGAAACGGTGGCGTTTTGTAAAGTGTTTGGCCTCGTTTCTTGTGTGCTCTCTATAGGATCTATATGTTTTTTTTTTTTTTTGAAAACAAAAAAATTTCTATATGTATTTTTGTTTTTAGGATTAGAGGAAAGTCAGGAAACGAATGTTTAGTGAATGTTTAATTATAAGAATCGTTTCTTTTTTTCTTTCCAGGATTTGTTCTGTTGATTTCTAATCACCTTCTTAGCTTTTGTTAGTGTTAAAATTTTAAATATTATCACTGATTTAATCCTAGATCTTATATAATCTGGGATGAAGCATATTATGTCAGAATGCAACTTTGATTGTGGGCTTTTAGCCAAAAAGGGTCCTCGTAATGATATTTTCTATTCAAAGTGTATTCGTCCTCCACCTTGGTTAACTTCAACTTCTCAATTGTAAAAAGATTATGTAACTTCTCAAAAATTTTCTTTTGATAAACTGTAGAAGTTCTCGATTTTTGACACATAATCTTATCTATCATTTAGAATTAGGTAAGTATCCGCGCATTGCGCGGGACAATAATTACAAAGAAAATAGTATCTTAGGATTATAAAATAACAAAAAAAATTATATTATGATTTGTCTTTTCTTTTGTGGAGATATTCTCCGCCTTAGTGTTAATTGTTTGGATCAAAATTTCAAGTCCTTCATACGAGATTATCCTTGTAGTGTTAATGTCTTGCATAATCCTTGAAGTGTCATACATTAATAGTCGTAAAAATCCGAGTAAGAATTATATCATTGTGAGGGATGAGAGACGTTTCCGTCGAAACTATCGTCTTTGGTGAGATAGCCACGATGATCCTCTAAAATGTATTAGACCATGCATAAGTAATATCGTGAAAAATATCTTCTGGAGGATGAGATAGGATTCCCCCCCCCCAAAATACTCTGACATCCAATTTAGGCTACTACTCGAGATTCGATTAATTCAAGAGGTAAGTGTGTATTATGTTTGAGACCATGTTTGAATATCAATGTCTATGTTCAATATTTATAGAATGGATGAGAAGAGAAGAGGGGCAGAGTCTCTAGAAAATAGTAGGGTTAGAATTCCTTTCATAGGTATTAGATTAACTGAAGATATTTTCGAGGGAGTATCCCATTGTTGTCTTTTTCTACGAAATGTTGCCTCTTGATTCTTGTGTTATTTTCCTCTTCTTCTTCTTTCTCTGATCTGAAGAAGACGATCAACATAACCTCTTGTATTTCTTAATTGTCTTGCATTTTTTTAGGATTACGTATGATAGATTAAAAATAATGATACTTTTGTTTACAAATATTGTTTTTCCTCAAGGTATTAAACTCTAGCATGAGAGCCTAAACCCTCACAAAGTTACGTAAACATAAAAAAAAATAGATATACTCAAAACCTTAACTTTAAAACCAATTCCGTATATTTTGTCTTAATCCTCCAAATATAAATTCAAAGTGCGACCAATCAAGAAACATTGACATTGAAACATTTATTAAATCACAACTTATGCATCAATTAACTATTGATTAGGACTAATTTACATTTATATTCCAAAAAGAGAGGTAATTTTGTTACCGCTCGCAAAGAGCAATCCACAAATATAGAGCTGCATCCAGGTTCGCCAATGAGCCAAATTATGAGGGGATCTTTTTTGGGATTTCTCAATGACTTCACAGAGTACTAAAAGAGCTCAACATCTCCAAATTCACCAAGACTCACGTACGTTATTACACAATACATGCAAAATAAGAAAAATACACCTTAATTAGATTTGCAAGGCAATTAATAATTGAATCCTATTAGTTCACATTGACAATATAAAAACAATACATGAACAATGAACGATAAACCTGCAATCAAATAAAAATTTACGATGAACTAAAAACAAAAACCTACAAACAACCAAATAGCCATCAAAGATGATCACACCTCAATAGTGACGTTCAAAACATCAAAAATAGGAAAATAATTAGAACAAAATTTAAGAGCACAAGCATATCGCAAAACAAACCTACGCCTAGTATTTGTAATAAAATAGGCTATAACCAATATCGGTTATTCTCCACATTTTATAACACAAATCCATTTCTTTTGACTCAAAAACATGAACATGATCGATTTGTTTGGCGGTTCATCTCAATTTTTGACTTTTGTAACGTTTGTCAAAGAAAATAAAAAGTTGGAAGGGAGCTTTATCTCTCATGGATGTTACTTTGTACCAGTTTACATGTATTTCTTCAGTCCATAATCCACTTTTTAATTTTAATAATGGAAAAGAAGTATGGTCGGCTATAGAATAAGGTGG